TCAGGAGTGAGCCCAGCAGAGACCGGAACTGCCCTGCTGACCCACAGACTTGTGAGCATAAGAAATTGTTCTGTCATTAAGTGTTACAGTTGCTTACTTCATAACCTTATTGTGGCCATAGATAACCAATATAAATGGTAAACAGGTGGACAATGAAGGATTCTGAGGAAGGGATATTTGAGGTGGGTGTTTAGCTTAAGCATGACTAAGAGTAGATAGCAAATATAAAGTATCCATAGGCTGGCCTGCTTACAGGGAGACTGCAGATTTTCTAAATAATTGCAAATTAATATTTTTGCAGGGATGTGAATTTTGCTTTTCCCTTTGCATTAACATAATCAGTTACTCACAGATATTCTTTTATCCTAGGAGGAAACTTATTTTGCCTGCTTATAATGCAAAGCTCATGAATTTATGTGCTCTGAAATGTGCCCTAATTTAATTTTGTTTGAATTTTATAAAGTAATTTTAGAAACCTAGAAAAAGACTTCAACACTTGACCCAGTGAGTTCTGAAAGGCCATATGCTTTGTGTGTCAACAATGATTATTAAAATACTTAATGCACTGCTGAGTTTCCAAATGTTGTGCCCTTTCACTGCCAAACGAGGAGGATGTCACACTGTTGGGCATTTTGAATATGGTAAAGTTGATTTAATATTTTGTGCTCCACGTCTGCTCTCTAAAACACATTTCCAGTCTGCAGCCTGAAGACAAAACACCAAGGACACAGTCAGGCATCGGCCACCACCAAGGGTCTAATTTCATATGCCTCCAGATGCTTAAGTGAAAAATGTTTTGATTATTATTCCTTTCAATCCCAGATAAATTATGTTCAATTACATAAACATCTTGAGGAGCTCCTGCGTTTTTCAAGGCCCTTTAAAAAGTCTTCAGTCAAATAAATGTACCCTTTGTTTATTTCTCAATTTCTGTTGCCCCACCGTTCTCCTCGTATTCTCTGAGCTCCACAAAATGATCATGCATATTAGAACCTCTTTAAGATCCTGTCTTCCCCAGGCTGCAGAAATTCAATTTACCGGAGAAAGGAGCAATGTCTTGACTGCCAAAGCTACAGGGCACTTCTCTGTGCTTATTCCTCTTAACCTGAAATTCTACCTTTTAGCCCCAACTTGAACTACGTATCATGAAACCAAAGCTATTCATTCTCTTAATTCAAACTGGTTTCCCCATCCAGTGGGAAAGGCCTTCATATCACTCCATAGCAAAATAATGAGCAGTTTTATATTTTTGTGTTTTCTTTCCTTTAAAACCAAAATAAAGCAAAACTACAGTCTTACTTCTACTTTTACATTTTCTTTCAGGAAATGGCTCTGCCTTCCTCCCTCTAACCATTCATTCAGCAAATATTTACTGAGTATCTTCTACACGCTGGTAGCAGTGAGTAAAATGGAGGTGGTCTCTGTCCTCATGCAGCTAAAAGTCCAGTGGGCATTTTCACAATTAGTGAGGGCACAAACAGAGTGAGGTGCTCAGAAGGAAGGCTGCACAGTACCCTAAGAATGATTCGCCAAGGAATCTGACTGAGAAGACGTTCTCCAAAGTAGCAGTGCATGAGCTCTATTCCGAAGGACAGAGCATGATCAACTAGAAGAAGAGATAACACTCCAGTGGAGAGGGGAGCATGTGCAAAGGCTCTGGGGTAGAAGGCAAAAGGCCATTGATGGCAGGAGCAATTTTGACATTGTATTATGTACAGAAGTATGTTTAAGTGACCATGTGTGTGCTATGCATGTGTGTGGGCAATGAAGTATAGACTTAGGAGCTATCTATTTTTTGATCTTCCCTCAACAAAATCCTCACACCGTTTTGAAAAATGTCCTATCTCGTTTATCTTTATAATGTGGCTTAAATAAGGGCTGGTATGTTCTTTTATAGGCTATCCTTCCACTCCCACTGACTGGTCCAGGGCTGGGCATCTTAACCCGAGTTGAGTCAATCATCTAAGGCACCATGGTTGGTGGATTAAGGGAAAGGCCCTTGGTTCTAGCTGGAAGAATCAGAGCCCTTCCTTAGGACTTTTTAACTTGGAACAAGAAAGTCAGTCTCAACCCTTTTCTAGTGGCTAAAGCGCTAGGGGAGTCAGAGCCTGTGTTTGAGTTTCCTGTGGCGCGAAGA